TCCCCTCCTCAGCCCCTGCCCCTCGGATCTGCTCCATGCCCGGCAGCACATCCCTGCAGCTCCAGCCCTTGCATCTGTAGACAGCCACAGCCTTAGTAACTGTCCCGGATGCTGGGGCAAAGTCCTTGACACCAATGACCTGAAGTTGGGAAGGTTTATCTTGGGTCATGGTTTGTGGAGGTTCAGCCCGCAGTCAGCTGGTTCCAGGGCAGGGTGGCATGGCACAGGGGCATGGCAGAGGAGACCTACTCACGGCATGACCACACCCTCCTCCCAGCAGCCAGCCAACTATGCCCCCCAAAGCCCACCTCTGTGGGGTCCCACCCAAGATTCCATGATCTCATGAGGCTTTAGGGGGACATCTAGACATCAACCATGCCAGCTACACGACATCACATTTAGCTCGACCAACCCGCAAAAGCCCTCCTGCCTGCTGCCCTGGGAGGGCTCCCAGCACCTGCATTTATTTCCCGGCTGGGACCAGGTCACAGCGTCCTGCTCCAGCGCTCCAAGTAGAACATATTTGCTAGATGACAAAATGAACAGCGTTTTGTTCCCATCTTGTAGAGGATGAAGCTGAGGTTAGAGAAGTAATCTGCCCAGAGCATCTCTAAGACCAGCATCCAGGAGCACAGGCGCCAAGGCCCTTATCCTGGGTCTCCAGATTCTGTTGTGCACTGCGTCCCCCAGCAGATACACGCTCCGTCCCAACCCCAGCACCTTTGAGTGTGACCCTACTTGGAAACAGAGCTCACAGCTGTCATCCATATATGAGGTCTTGAGGGTGGGCCTCAAGCCAGGAAGTCTGGTGTCCTCAGAAGAAGAGACACAGAGGCCATGTCGTGCTCCTGGGAGGAAGTGGAGCAGCACATCTCAGGCCCAGGGCTGCTGGCCACAGTCCGGAGGCCGGCAGGAAACGTGTTCACTCCAAGGCTCTGCACAGAGCCCCTGGTAGGCTGACACCTTCAGTGTGGACCTCGGCCCCTAGGACTAGGAGAAAATACACTTCTGCTGCCTTAAGTCCCTTGGTGTGTGGCCATTTGTCACAGCCCCCCTTGGAGACTAACAGGAACTACTTTAAGATGTTGCTTAAAAATGTCTGAAACCCAGTGTCTGTACACACAGCACGTGAGGTCTGGGAAGAACCCTTAATTTTGGAGTAAATTCCAAGGTTATATTTTCTGGACTTGTATTTCAGGTTGTTGAATCAATGTTGTGTTTGGTGACTTCCTGTGCCCAAGAGTTTTGTGTTTTATTTTATTTTTTTCTCCTGACCTAAGACGGACTAGGGAGCCAGGGACTATTTCACCCAGGAGAGATGAAGGGGTGAGCCCAGCCTGGTGGACTGGCACTCCTGGCCTCAGTGTGGGCCAAACAACAGGCCATGTGATTCTGCCCAGAGTGGCGGTGGGCCTGCTCCCCAAACTTTGGGGTCTCTGCGGACCTGGGGTATTTATAGGGAGCTGCTCAGAGTGTGGAGCACCCAGTCCTCACACCCAGGGAGGCGGCCTTGCCCAAGTTTCTGCAGGACAATGGATGTCATCGCAGAACACCCATGAAGGAAGGGTGCCTCTTGAATGTTCAGCATGGAGACACAAACTTTCCTCCCTAGGGTGGCTTTGTGCCTTGTATCTTCAGCCCCAATCAGGAGCCACACTTAACAGGACCACAGAGAGGAAACTTAGGCCTTGCAGTCACACGCTCCTGGCTTTACTCAGCTCACCAGCTAACACACAAGTGTGCATTCCTGAGCCCCCCAGCTCCGGGGCTTGCAAACTGTGAAGCAGCAGAGTTTTCTCCAATTCACTGCTTCAACTACATTCCACGCCATGCCCCATAACTCACCGTGGCTCCCACGGCCCTGATTAAATGTGAACTTTAAAACCTGCCCAGTCCCCTCTCTCAGCCCTGCTGTGCCCCTTACCCTCTAGTTCTCTGGAGAAGTCTGGGCGTCTCCTGGGCTTCTTTGCCTCCCTGTACCTCTGCCTAGAGCGCCCTGATTCGCAGATCTATGGAGGAAATCTGCCCGAGACCTAATCTGTCTCCAGCCCCATTCCCAGCACCCTGGGGATGACGGACATTCCCACTTGACACCTCCCATTCCCTCCTTTCCAGGACACATATCCCACGCAGTCCCATCTATTGAGGATCCACTTTGAGCCAGGACTATTGCCCACGCCACACTCGATCCATTGCCTTTGCTGGTCCATCATTTGTCCTACATCTGCAAGCAGCAGAAAGAGAACCTGTGTTCCTTTCAACCCTCATGCCCCTGTCCTGGTGCCTGGGTAAGGCAGATAAACAACACTGAGGAAGCAGGGACACATGGACATTCCTCTGTGAACTCCCTCACTGCAAAAAAAAAGAGGCTATGTGAGGGGATAGGGACAGCACTCAGTCTTGGTGGTCACTGCACACAGCTGAGTGGAGAGTGGGTAGCTGCTCAGGAGAAACACTGCCCGGCCTCTCCCACCAGACAGCCATCCTCGGACCACCCAGGAGCGCTGTCCAGAGAGACACCACAGTGAGACTGATAGGCCGCTAAGCGAGCAAGAAATACAGAGAGGGACTGGGCTCTCAAGGAGGCCAGCAAAAAAAATAAAGACCTCAGAACTGTGGCTGGAGGTGCAGCTGAAGAAAACCAGGCCTCAAGATAGAGACGCAGTGGCCAGGCCAGCAGCCTCCCTAAGGGAGCAGCAGTACCCTGACATTGTGCTCTAATTAGCCCTTGCTTCCTGGTGGTGCAGGAAGCCCAGCTACCATCAGTCACCCAGGCGATGACCAGAGCATCCAGACCCATCCCTTCCCCAAGATGTGCCTTTGTTCTTTCCACGTCCTCTGCTTCCCTATTGGATCGATATTAGCTAAGCAGCTATATTTGTCACATATAGGTTATTCATAGTTTGACCATGTTGGACCCACACTGTGATTTTGCTGTATAAATTACCCCTGACAAAGGGCCTTGTGGACACCCCGGGGGCCCCTCCAGGAAAGCCAGGTATTTCTCAATAACCTTGCCTATTCTTAATCACCACTGTTCTTTAGAATTCATTCTTTGATTTTGGGGCACACCTGACATCTAACAGGTTGGGAGTTTCATTTCCCCTATACTGAAACCACTTCCAGGAGGAAGGGAACAAACAAGTCACCCTGAACTAGGCTGCCCCATGGATAAGGTGGAGACCCAGAACTTGGCTGGCTAGAGACTCAGATGCTCCGGCCTAGAACTGAAAGAAGTTCTCCTTAATAACAGTGTCCTCGGGTGCATGCTTTAATCTTGCTGAAATCTAACATCACAATGTGTAAAGTGGGGAGTGCAGACTGGTGAGGCTACTTCGCATTAAAGTGGGCCAAGTAGCCTGCACCTGGCATGAAGGAGATGCCCAGGAAACCATAGCACATCTTCCACTGGTAAATACCTTCATGTTTCTGCTCCTTGTGGCTAGTGCAGTACTGAGCAAGTAATCAATGCCAAGCATCTGTTGGCAGAAAAAATTGGCCAAGTGAACATGAATTGTAAAAAAATAAATTATAAAGAACTCAGTCTTTCTGTAGGTTTTGCCCATAGGTGCTGAAAAGCCCCATTTATTTTGTCCTGTCGCCATAGCAACTGTTGACGCTCCAGGAGCAAGGATCAAGTTACCTTGTAACCATGGAAACACTAAGGGGTTATCCAGAGGGGAAGGCAGCCACAGACACCTGGTAAACTCCGGTCCATGCTAGAAGTAAAGCCTCAGTTTTCACCTAGCTGAGGCCACCTCAATCTACAAGGGTGATGACTTTTTCTACATGACAATATTTACTAGCTTGGGTTCAGAAACAGGAGCCAGAACATCAGGCAGGAAAAGGACCAGCAATCCTCCTAGGAGCAATCGACATTTAGAAAACTCACTAAGGGGCAGAGGAGAGCTGGGATCTGGACTCAAGGGAGCTGGCCTGGGGACTCCACATCCTCCTCCAATGCCTCCCCACTGGGGACTGCCCACCACCACAGTCTGGATTTTGCCAGCTCCTACCACAGGAAGTTGAGGAGAGGTGTAGTATCCCCTCCAACTTCCTTTCAGTGTTAGAAAACAGCAGCAGGTGGGATTACTGCTCTGTATCCAGGGGACAGAAGGGGCCGGGGCGGCACTCCTGCCCTTGGTCCCCAAAGCGATTGAGGTCTGACTGGTAGATGGGGCTCCCTGTCCACAGTACAAGGAACCGGCCTGCGGTCCACACTGTCTCCCAGGCACGTGACTTTCCAGAAAAGGGTCCCCTTTGGTTCTGGCTCCAGAGCGTGGAGGCCAGAAGGCAATACTCACTGGGGGGTGGAAGCCGGAGGTGGGGGGTGGGGAGTGGGGGTCGAGGGTGGCTGTTGGCCGAGCTGAGCTGGTGGGGGAGATCCATTGATTCCCTGCTCTGGCAGCCCGTTTGCACGCAGGGAAGGACTGTGGGCCTGCAGGGCACTGATGGCCATTAGACCAGGCGCAAAGCAAAACTGGGAAAGTGATGGCTGGGCTTCTATGTCTGGGGGTTACAAAGCCATTCCCACTGGCGCCCTCGAGCAGCAGGGACTACAGTCCTCACTCATAGGGGATGGGCGCGCTCGAGGTCACTAGCAAGCCACAGACTACCCGCGCAGCACAGTGCATGGTACAGCGGGTTGAGGGTAGCCTACCCACCCGGGCCGAGCTCGCCCGCTTCGGTGGCTCTGGGGTCGGGGAGGGCACAGCAGGTGGGGGTGGGGTGGGGAGGAGGTGGCCCCTGCTGCCCGGGTTCCTCGAAACCTGCTCCTGGGGGCCCTGTACAAGGGGCTCCAGAGAGCCCTGAGCCCCACGCTCAGCTAATCCCGCCACCCCGGGCGCGCACACAGGTGGGGCCGCCGGGCTCGGGACAAAGGACCAGGACGCGGAGCCCGGGAGGGCACCGGCGCGCAGACGCGGCCGGCAGGGCGAGGCGCGGACCCCGAGCCTCCTCAAACTCCGTGACCAGGGCTCGTGGAGCGGGGTCCCGGTTACCTGAGCGGCCATGAAAGAGAGATCCATGGTGTCGGTGCTGCTTGGGCCGCCGCCCGCGCTCGCGTCTTCGCTGCGACTGGAGCTGCTCCAGCTGTCCACACCGCTCGCCGGGCGCAGACAGAGCGGCGAGCAGGCGCCCTGGGACCCCGCGCAGACCGCACCAGCCCCGGCGTGGCAGCGTCGCGAGCCCGCGCGGTGCCCCGGCTGTCGCTGGGTTCAGGCAGCAGCAGGAGAGGAGGCGGGCCGGGGGCGGAGCCTGGGCGGGGCTCGGGGACCCACAACCCTCCACGTGACCACACCCAACCCCACCCCCGGGGCAGGGCGCGGTAGCAGTCCACTAATGCGTGCCTCGTGGGGAAACTGAGGCCTGGGGTGAGTACAACAACCAGCCTCCAGTCCGAGGGTCTCGGTATTGCGCCCCGCTTTGTGCAGCGGACCCGGCCCTCCGTGGGCCCTGGGCACTGCCTTCTTTCCTGGGGTCGGTGCGCTGGGCCCCGGAGCCTGAGAACCGGGTTCTCAGTGAGCCATTAGACCCGGCTTGCTGTGCCAACTCTGCACTCAGTGTCCAGTGTGCGCCTGGCTCCGGAACCCGGCAGAACAAAGTTTGAAATCTAGTTTCGCCTTTGGCTTGGGCAAGTTAATTCTCTCTCTCTCTCTCTCTCTCTCTCTCTCTCTCTCTCTCTCTCTAATATCTCTTTAAACCTGGATTTTCTTGTCTACAAAATAAGGATTTACAGAACCCAAGCACTGAAACTAATGTCCTCCAGGGCAGGACGCGGTGAGCCCTAACCTGGTCGGGTTGGGGCTGAGGGGGTGCCCTATAAGTGCTCTCACAAGTCAAACCGTGCAGATGCCACAGCGGAAATGCGGGAGCAGCAAAGGGGCCTAGAGGTGTGCTGGGGGTGAAGGTGTCCCCCCAGGCCGGGAGGCAGCTGCAGTCTGTGTCCACCCCCAGGGACCTCCGTGCTTGTTACCTGGTCCTTTCTGGGGGCGGCGCTCCCAGGACTCAGGTGTGCTTTTCTTGAGCCTGGGACATCCTGTGAGGGAGGCAGCCTGGGACTCCTGGACCTTGGCATGGATCCGAAGCTATGAGTGAAGAGATGGTACAGGTGTTCGAGGTCAACCTGCCTCCGGGTGGGGGTGGGGGAGGGGCCAGGGCCCTTCCTGTCCCCCCTGGCTTCCAGGAAGGCTTCTTTCTCTTCCTTCTATCTCCTTCTGGTTCTTTCCCCTCTCTTCCCCTTCTTTTTTGTCCTCTCTCCTCCTCCATCTTCCCTCATCCTTCGTTGCCTCCTCCTTTTCCACACTGTACCCAGCCTTCCGGCCCCGCCCTCACACCCGGTCCTCAGACCCCCGGCTCAGCCAGGCCTGTGCCTCTTCCCTGCACGGGTGCTGCCACCTTCCCACCCTGTCCCCTGCCTGGCCATTGCGCAGGACCTTCCGTGTCTCCTGGCTTGCTGTGAAAGCACTATGTGTTTTGGGCTGAAGTCTTCCACCCCTGAAAGGGCACACACACACGCACATTGGATATGCACTTTAAATAATGACAAAGTGCCTTGCACTTTAAGGAACTGAAGACTAAGTAACGGTCTTTGGACTCTGGTGCGACAGACTCCAAAGCATCTCCTGCCTGCCCCACTATTAGCGGTCTCTTTTATCCTAAATGTTCATCTTGCTCTTACTATTATTTATAGTTTATCTGCTTTAATGTTTTATGGAAAAGTGAAGTCGCTCTTTGATATATTTTTCCCTCATACTACCCTTTTTAAAACCAGCATTGTGTGTGCAGCTGAAGGCCTGCAACACACTGGGCTGGCACCCCAGCCTTTTGATGGATATGTGCACGAACCCTAAATATCCTGCGAGGGAAAACAGTGCTTCTGTGAACACTCCAGAGCTTGTCCTGATGCAGAGAATGTTCTGTAAAAGAAACTACTGAGGCATGTGCTTATATAATTGTATTTTTTAACTAAATATCTATCACTTTCCAATTTTCAAGGAGGTTTTGCCAATGTACTGTTGTACCAATAGCATGCATGAGTTCATATTGCTCCATTTCTTCACCAACACCTTGTGTTGTTAGACTTTTTATTCTTGCCAGTGTGATAGGATGAAGTAATGCTTCCCTTGAGTTGAGTCCTCATTTCTCCAGAGCCTTGTGATGTTAAGTATTTTATCTGTTGACCAATCTCATGCTATCTCAGGCAGGGAACACCTTTCACAAAGCGCTCTTTGAAATTCGTTGTTGATATTTTTCTTCTGACTCTGTAAAAGTATCTGTGTCTAGCTGTCATAAATAGCTTCTTTCAGCTTTGGTATTTATTTTCACTTACTATGTGTTTTCATAGACAGTTGTCCTCAATTTTAATTTAGTTAAAATTTACAGTACTTTCCTTTACAGTTAACCTTTGTTCAAGAAATCTTTTCCTGACCTGAGGCCGTAACAGATACTATCTTATCCTACTCATAAAGATAATAGTCTAAGAAAATACTTTTCCTTCTATTATTTAGCTCTTTTATAACTAGGTTTTTAAGGTACGGGGCCAGGAAGCAATTGTCATTTTCCCGGGGAAGAATCCATCGTGCCCTCCCCAGCTGGCCACCGCGGCCCCTTCCTGGGGTGCACAGTGCCACTGCCCAGCCGTCCGTGCAAGGCCGGGCCTGTTCTGTGTGCAGAGCTGGCTCATCACTCCCAGCGCTAAGGCTGTTCTGACTCAGTTACTGCATGTAAGACCTGCTCAAACGTGGCGAGGCAGCTGTCCTCACTCTGTCCTTCCCCTGGAGCTTCCTGATTCATCTTGACCTTCCACCCTCTGGGTGGGTTTTGGAGTCACCTCGTTGGCTCCACGCAGGAGCCTGGACTGGATCCGCCTTCTCAACTTCTTTGGGAGGTGATCACCCCCTTAAAGATTACGAGCATTTCCCCTGAAGCACGTACTGTAGCCCTATTTAAGAGATGGCGGGAGGGGAGAGGAAAGAGACATAGAGGGGGATAAGCCGTGCCGCACACGTGCGCCGGCCCTCTGCGGTGAGGAAAGGGATCCCTATGCACTGCCAACGTGTGCTAATAAGAATGAAAATTAAAGAAAGATAGCAGCACACATAAATACGAGCCTGAGATGTAAAACAATAATGATAATTTTTTATATGCAGAACTTGAAAATCTTTGCTAAGGAAATCCCATCATGGCTCTTGAAAATGAACATTTTAATCTTGAGAGGACTGTGGGCTCATGTGCAGTTGTGAGAGACAACACAGAGAGCTTGGTGCACGTTACACGTTACCCTGCTTTCCCCAGGGTGATGTCCTGCCGAGTGATGGCACACTGTCACCACCAGGGTGCACACACTGACCCCGTGGACCCAATGGGTGTTGGGTCACCAGTGCCTCCTCCACCTCCACCTGCTCTTTCAGGGCCAGTCCTGTTCCACCCTACCCCACCCACTCTTTGGTGCTGGGCAACCACCACAATTTTGTCAAGAATGTGACACAAGTCTAACCTTGCAATGCATTACCTTGGGGGTCAGCGTAGGTTGCCAGAGACTCGCCAGGTGACCTCTGCGTCCATAATTGTTCCCTTTGGCTGCTGGGTAGGGTTCTATTGCATGGATGTACCAGCTTGTCTGGCCGTACACCTGTTACGGGACATCTGTGCTGTTTTTGCTCATGGTGATTATGAATAAAGCTGCTATAAATACAGGTTTTTGTAGGAACAGGTTCTTCACTTTTCTGGGATAAATGCCCAGGAATTGAGTTGCTGGGTTACAGGGTAGTTGCATCCTTTGGCGGTTTTGTTTGTTTTATTTTCTTTATTTTTGGTTGGATTGTACCAAGGGCCTTGCACAAGCTTGGAATGTCCTCTACCACGACCTTTCCGGGCTTCGTTTTTCTTATTTTTATTTTGAGGCAGTGTTTCTCCAGGTTGCCCGGGCTGATCTCAAACTGTCCATCCTCCTGCCTCAGCCTCAGCAGTGGGGTTATAGGCACGCATAGGCCATTGCGATGGCTCCATTTTTCAGGTTTTCAAGAACTACTGAACTGGTTTCCACAGTGATAGTACCATTTCACATTCCCATAAGGAAGACACAACTGTTTTCTCTAAATGTTTGCCTGCAACTGGTGTTGTGACAATTAACCTTACACATCAGCTGCTAGAAGCCCTGAATTGAACGTTATCTCCCACCACCCGGAGGAGTTCCACAATGAGATTAGGTGTGAGTGGGTGGTCTGGTAAAGGAGCCGCCCTCCGCATCCAGGTGGGCGCCTCTGAGCGTCTGGATAGCAGAAAGGTAGAGAAAGGGGCTTTCCTCGTTGCTTCCCAGACTGCCCCTTGCACTAGGACATGCCCTCTTGGGCCTCAGGTCCATAGACTTGGGCTGAACCAGCCTCTTCCCTGCGCCCCCTGCTGGTGGGTGGCAGATCAAGGGTCTTCTCGGCACCGGATCTTCTGGGCCGGCCCCTTGCCCTAACTTTTCCTGTTTCCCTGGAGAACCCAGACAATACAGGAACAGCCGTGTGTAGGAGAGCAGTGGGACGATCTTGGGGCCCCATTCTGCGTTCCCCAACAGCAGCCTTGTTGGACAGCTTCTCAAGTGTCTCCGCCATCTGTCTGTCCTCTGGTGCAGCATCTGCTCTTGTCTGTTGCCATTTTCTAACTGTGTTATTTGTTTACTCTTTAATTGTGTGAGTTATTTGTGTATCAGAAACTATTTTTTCATCAGACAGTTGGCTTGCAAGTACATGCTCCTGGTCTGTAGTTCATCTTTTCAACTTCTGAGCAGGCAGTTCACAGGGTAAATGCTTCGGTCTTGGGGCAGTCCAGATCATCACGTTTTCTGCTATGATTGTGTATTTGTGGGATCAAATCTCAGAGCTCCTTGCCTCGCCCTATACTCTAAAGACTTTTCTCTCCTCATAGGCTTATATTTTAGCGTTAATTTTTATACAAGGTGAAAGATTCAGTAGAAAATTTTGTCAGCCGTGGTGGCACACTGTGGAGGTGGAGGCAGGAGGATCACAAGGGCAAGTTCACCTCAAAATAAAAGGTGACAGCTGGGGAGATAGCTTGATGCCTGCCTCGCAGGCACAAGGACCCAGGTTCGACCCCAGGTACTGCATGCCTTGCTAGCCCTGGAACCTGGGGTGCACTGTACCGGCCACTAAGAGCAGGAATGGTGGCACAGGTCTGTAATCCCAGTGCTGGGCAGGCTGACTGGTG